AAAAAAAAAATGCTGAGATGGAGTTTTTAAAAAGGAATGTTGAAATTGGACAAATGAACCCATCTATGATTAAAGCTTGCACACATTTTCTATTGCAAAGCTTAGGGAATGTTTTTTTTTTAATCATTTGAAGCCCAGCTGGGTTCTCCAGTTCTCATTCTGGATCTTCCCTCCCTAAAGCTCACAGATGCCATGAATTAATTGCAATTACAGAGCCATGAACATGCTAGAAAGCATTTGTGTTATTTTATCACTTTTCCATCCTGTCAACTATAGCAGGGTTCCTCAACCTTGGCAACTTTAAGACGGGTGGAGTTGAAGTCTACCTGTCTTAAAGTTGCCAAGGTTGAGGAACCCTGAGCTATAGGACTACATACTTCATTCACCATTCCCTTTATTGCTTTTGCTAAAAATCAACCTCACATCTTCCAAGGGCAGAACATGGGAACACCTCCGAATGAGAGCATGGTGACTCCTGGTGGACCAGGGTCTGGAATGGTCAGGTAGAACTAAGGGCTCTTGGCTTACCCAAAAATAAAGGCAGGACATATTTGCCTGTCTTGTCTTGGCAAAAAGCACTGCATGATGATGACAGTATTGTTGCACAAAAGCCTCCCATCAAGAAAATACTAGGGAATAAATGTTACGCAACTCAGTGAGGCTGACTTCTGAGTAAGTTCAAGATGCAACTGGATGGTAATTTAAAGAAGTAACTTTGGAATTTTCGTACTTGCATTCAGAATATGCAATTACTCATCTAAAGTGAGTAATAAATAAAGTAATATTTAAATAAACTGAGTAAAGTAATATTTCTTTGGCTTGGATTGCATAATCTATGGGGAAGAAAACAATTTCCTCACTACACTGAGGCTGCTATAATTGTGCTGGTGACAGATGGAAGGAAAGGAAATATGTCTTTTCTGCTCCCTCATTCCCCCCTCACCTGCCAAGGGAGCTTCTCAAGGTTGGAAGAAGACAGAGATGAAAGTGAGAGTGTGTTCTGTAGCTACTGCTGGATCCACAGTAACAGTAAGAGATTAAGGAGCTCATGAGAACGGAGACTTGAATGTTTTTCTGCAGATGTTATCAGGTGTGTAATAGCGTATGAATTGGACTTGGAATGAACAAAGCCATTATCTGGTTTGTTTGAAGAACAATTGGTTTCTGAACCCTCTTGTGAATTAATCTGAGGTTTACTCAACAATTAAAAAAAACCCAGGGTTGCAAGCAATTATATGCACGTCTGCAAAGTCTACAGTCTTGCCTGAACCCATTTGAAACCTTGGCAGCAATGTTACTTCGCCAAGATTATGTCACAATAGAAGAGAGGATTGCAGTATCAGTTGTGTGTGGCCATAGATTATTTAAAAACACTTTCAGAAACATCAGCACTCATAATGGGTTGACGCACTGTCTGCGGTTGCTTTTACAATTTAATCTTCTTGCTTATAAGGATATATGACTGACTTGATTGATCTCCCAGATACTATTTGCTCTTACAGCTGGAACTACTGTATTTGCAGCTTTTTCTTTAACGGATTGTAGAATTGTGGTGTTTTCGGCATCCGTTTTCAAATGACAAATGTTGTGCTGTTAGCCCCACAAGGTAGACCAGACTAGGAAATCAACTCCACAGGAAGATTAAAACTACCTTTATTGAGTTTGGCTGTAATAACAGAAAGTTGCAGGTCTGATTGTGCTGTTCCTTTCCCCCCCTCTTATACTCCAGTGAATTGGGGAGGCATCTGCCTAAATCGCTTCCGAATCTTATCTTGTTTCTCAGGGCTTAAAAATGTTACAGCTCCTTTGCTTAGGTAACAGTTCTTGCATATCTCCATCAAGTTCATCTTCCTTACTCTCCACAAACGTCACCAACAAGTATCTTATCAATTTAAACCAGTGGGACATGGTCCTGAATAAAAAAAAACCCAATCTAATCCAATCAAACGTGTCCCTGAGCCGATGCAATTTTCTGAGCAACAGTTCAGAACTAGTCTGCTCTTTCTTTTAGGACACTTTGCCAGTTTTCCTGTCAAGCCAACAAGTAATACCCTGAATAAACTGCTGTAACTATCATTGCAATTATAGCATAAACTACCTATAAACCCATATCTTTATACACATATCTTAACCCATATCTTAAAACCCATAAACTACCTATAAACCCATACATACCAGCATAGCTGAGATTTATTTATCTATTCAGTGTCCCCAAGGCCTAGCCTAAATATAAAAAAAATTCTAGCAATCTCGTTCTCTTAGAACTTTTCTGGCTATGCTACTTTACCAACACAGAGATGCCTTCAGTCCTATGCCTTTGGGGAGGGATAGGAAAGAATGTAAAAGGCGGACGTGTTGGGTGCAGCTGGCAGAGTCCATGGGCCTGCATAGGTGCGCACAGTTTGGGCTATCTGTACCTCGGGTTGGGAACCTGAACCAGAACTGGGATCCCGTTGGCCTAACCCCACCCCACTGCCTATCTCTTTCCCTGCCTGAACTGGTAGAGGTGGTCAGGACCTGGAGGTGGGATTTAATGGCCATGTGGTGGCTACCTTCTCAACAGCAATGCAGAAATTTAAGTCTGCCTGTTCAGCTGTGGCCCTGTCTAAGATAATGTATGGTTCAACACATGTAAAGGACATACTCTGGGGCTGGATTTTTTTTGCATAGGATTTGGATAACATAGTGTGAGTTGGGAGGCAGGAGTAACTCAGTTGGAATGATCAGATCATTACCTTTGACTTTCAGCTGCCTGTAGCCTTCATAAGAGTGGGAGAACAAATCTGATAATCCACTCAATGTTTCTTGGTTCAACCCACCCAAAAAATAGCAGCAAGGCCCATTTTATGTAGTAATATTTTTCATGTGCAGCTGTCTAGGAAATCCTGGTTAGTACAATAACGTTCCAGACCTTTAAAACACTTTTAAACTTAACCATCCCATGGCTCAACCTCAGTGAAAAAACCAACACTGATTCTTCAAGAATTGCTATCACGTTCCTGTGCATATTCCAGAATGTCTCCTGGCTGGAATGGAAGGGCATGGAAGCAAGATGCAGAATTAGGGTTAGAATGTTTCAGAATGCTATGGAGGTTATACATGTCATCTTTACATGAATATGCATTATATCATTAATGCAGTGAGCTGATAAATAGCATACATTTGTATGTATATCTGTGTACATACATAACACATTACATCTAAAATTGTTACAGTTCCACCCTAAGACTTCCTGTTCCAAATCCTAACTAGTGAAGTTTGAAATTAGGTCATTAGGATATTATGGGTAATTAAAGGCATGGGCAAGCACAAGGATTTTAGCATTGTTCTAGCTTTCTGCTTCCTGTAGAGTTTTTGCAAAAGGCTGATAAGGATTACTGGAGAAATACACTACCCAGGAAGCATCTCAAATATGAACTTTCCCTATCTTTTTCTTATGAGAATGGTGGGTTTAGAGGAGGTGAATAAGAGGATCCATACTTCAGCTAGGAACATCTTCAAGGTGGATATCAAAATTCAACATGGTGGGTGCAAATGTGTGATTGAAGCCACACCGCTTTTTCCATCTGTGTGATACGTATTAAAAAGGCGCAGGGCTTCAGTCACATGCATGCATCTGCCATCCTGACTTTTTGGGCCTTGCTGCAGGTATCACCAACCTCAAGCAGTAGGAAGGGTGAGGCAACCCGCTTCAGGCCAATTATCTCAGAGAACCTCAAGGAGCAGCCAATTGCTCAAATAATTTATTATTTTTATGTCCATAGGGTTGTCAGCTGGATCACTTCTGGCTGAACAAGGTAGATCCGATCTTCTTTGTCATGCTGCCTGTGAATTGAAATCCAATTAGAACATGCGATGGTGCATGGATAAAATGCCTTTAAGATGCTGCCGGGAAGTCAAACTCAATTCTTGCCCCTCAGAATGGCTTGCCACTCACAGTCAGCTTCTGTGCTCTGTTGTAGCTTTACTTGAAGACCGTATTTTTTATCCGATGTCTGCATTTCATGAGTGTACAGTACAGGCCCATCCAACATGTTTGTTCTTTAAAAATTGATACACCATGTAAAAGTTGGTTTTGGAAATCTTACATTTTCTTTGTAATATTTAGTTTGTCTGTAAGTGTGATATAATGGTTAACCTTAATAATGTATTTGTATTGCAGGTAAAGCACCACCTGAATGTTTTGAGAAACACTGCAGTCTAGCTTCCCCTTTGAAAAATGTTTTCTACATCACTGGTCTTTTTTCCTTTGAGCAATTGGGCAAAAGAAAAAAAATAACGTGATCAAACATTTTTTACGGTACAGTACTGGTTCCCCAAGAAGCTGCAAACAGGAATTGGGAAATGTATTTCTCAATTTGTTTCACCCAACTTCTCATTTCTGCAAATAGGTCAAGTTCATCCAACTAGAAATCAGGATGTATTTCAGTGCATATTTCTTCAAGTACATGCATTTTAGGTTGTAATTTTGTCTTAGATAATTTCTTGCAACAATGTTTCCCAACATTATTCATGCATGTTATTTTCAAAAATATGTACATTTTTTGTGTAGTGGCTCTGTAATATCCTTTTTTTGGTTGTTGGCAACCTGCACTACAAAATGCAGAGAACTTTGAATTTTGGAACTGAGGGGTAGATATCTTTATGATAAGGGATTTACACAGGAAAGGGAGGACAAAAAAAGAAAGAGAAACAGTATTCAGAACAAGATTTTACGATCAAGTTTCAGTTCATT